AGCACCACTCCTCTTGCAACACACACACACACACATATACACTGACCTGTCTGCTCAAGAGCAACAGGAACCAATTCTCATACACAGGGATCCATCAAGGACAGGGAGATGGCACAATGGCATGCTTCTAAACTACCCTAGACCTCCGTGATTCAAGATAAAACATTTGTTTTTAAGGCTCTGCTTTGTTATTTGCATTCTGAGCTCCAATGCACTCCTTGGCTTTCCAAAAAGTCGGGGGGGGGGGGGCGGGGCGGGGGCGGGTAGGGAATCAGTTCTGTGGCTGTGGACAGTAAGAGGAAGAGACAGCCCTAGATGCTAGGATGAACACAGGAGCTGCTTCTGACAAAAGCGTATATTTATCTTTGTTGTGATGTCTGTCCTAGTATTCACGAGCAGAGCACTACCACATTTGGTAGTCTGTGGACAGGCAGCTTGTGGTGAAACGCATTTGCCTCCAGACCTGGATACCAGGAAAGACAGAGCAAATGGGGATTCCTTCTAGGACACCAGGAGACCTCCAGTAAGCCTCGCTTCTTAAAGGTCTTATATATACAGTGCCAGGCCCCAGTGGCTCAGGTGTGCAAGCCTAGCTAACCAGGAGGCTGAAATCTGAGAATTGAGATTTAAAGCCAGTCTGAGCAAAAAACAAAACAAAACAAAAGTCTCTCCAGTTAAACACCTGGTGGGGGGATGGAAACTAAGGGCATCCCCTGTTCTTTCTCCAATTAAACACCAAAAGCCAGAAGTGGAGCTGTGGCTCAAGTGGTAGAGCACTTACCCTTAAATGCAAAAGCTAAGGAACAGCGCTCAGTCTCAGTACAGGCCCAAAAATATAAATAGATGATAGAGAGATCAGACAGACGGACGGACGGATGGACGGATGGATGGATTCCACATCTCCCAAGAATGTGAAGAGCAAGAGTAAATAATGAGTGGGGGGAGGAATAGATGCCTTTGGGGGACACCTGCAAAGCCTTTCACCTGGAGAGGGGTGTAATGGTGTCAGGGTGTTCGGAGCTCAGCAGAGGCAGGTGGGTCTCAGAGGTGTGGGAGCTGTCAGGATGCCTTTCACACACACACACACAGACACCCTGCAGTGGGTAGTCCTAGAGAGATTGCAAAGAGCAAAGGAGTCAGGGGAAAACCACAAAACCTATGAAGCAAGCTCAGGAAGAGGACTGCAAATGAGCCACTTAGCCCATGATGGAAAAATCAGACAAATGATTCACACAATGGTGAAGTAGAAGGCAGAGGGCGAGATTCTAAGTCCTTGAACCTGTGGACTGGAGAGCAGGTGGGAGGAAGAGAGCCTCCACGGAGCTGCCCAGGCTTCTCACACATAGAAACCCCAAAGTGTATACCTCCCACGGGGATCCAGAGACCCAAAAGACCTTTGCAGCGTCAGAGTGGTGCCAGTCATCCTGAACTAAGGGAGGGAGGGCCGAGGGAGGGCAGAGGTGAACTGGCTAGTGGCAGAGCTGAGATGTGGAGAAAAGAGACTTCAGGCAATTCCAGCCCAACCCACCACCAGGAGGTAAAAGCAGTGGCTGCTTCCTGGGGATTGTTCACCTCCCCGGTTTTATTCATTCAACAAGCATTCGCAGGCAGCTGTGATCTGTGTAGCAGAGGGTCAAGGTCAAACAGGCACTCCAAGTGCCCACAGCCCAGATTCCCTGCTATTCAGGCCCCTCGGGGATTCCAGTCTGCCCATTGTTGTAATGCCCAAGTTTTTTGCATAAACAGCGGGGAATCTAGATTTGAGGAGCCTAAATCTTATTCAGGAAGCCTTTTGTGAAAAAAAAAAATAACTCAAAGCCAAAAATGAGTACAAAACTAGAAGAGGCCCCTGCAGGTGAGAAGCCCCAAGCTAGAGTTCTTTTCTAGAAAGTCTTTCCCTTGGAAAAGCAAAAGCACTTGTGAACTGGGTGGGTGGCGTCCTCTAGTGGCAACACTTAGGAAGGCCTCCCAGAGCCAAGAAAATCCTCATTTAACTGACCTAAAACCAGACGCTGCCTTTCTGAACGCAGTTGTATAATTATTGGTAGAGCCTCAGATAGCAGCATCTAGGTATGGTGACTAACTATATATCTAGGTATAGTGACTAACAATTTGGGGCAATAACTGTACCCTCTTGAGCTTCCCTTCCATAAAAAAAAAACAAAACTGTAGCTTTATAGAATCAAGTGATACATGTTACAATCCCAGCACTTAGGAAGTGGGGTAGAAGGACTAAGAGCTTGTGGAGTCTGGGCTACAGAGTGAAACATTGTTTTTAGTCACTGATTTATTTCCAAAAGCAAAACCTATTTCAGAAGAATGTTGTGAGGATACTAGTAAGGGCTTTCCACCAAGGGCACTGGACGCTCTTTTTAAAGGAAAATTTACAAAAAAAAAACCAAAAAACAAAAAACTTGTTAAATGCACCATTTAAAAAAAAAAAAGGAAAATTTACGGACCCTGGTGTCTTTTTCTGCTGAGTCAACTCTTTAGAGGGGAGAGTCCCTATTTCCCTCTCCAGATGGACCACCCAAGGCCAGTTACACCAGGAAAGAGGGTGCTCTACCCTGCAGACCTCCAAAGACTAAGGTAGGACTTTGCCATCTCCACATGTCTCCAGCACCTCCTTGACTCCTGGACCTTCAACCAGCTTTAGAAAGAGTCCCAGCATGAATGCATGGCTGGGAGCACATCCCAATACACGTGGAAGATAATAGAGCCAAACAAGCATTTTCTTCCTAGATTTCTTCTAACTTTACTGTGTTCTTTACATTTTCTTTTGTCTTCTGGGCCAGTAGTAGGACTTGAACTCAAGGAGCTGGTGCTCCCTTACCTGCTATCACTTGAGTCACTCAACTTCCAGCATGAGATTAGTCTCATGGATTGTCTGGGCTGGCTTTGAACCTCGTTCCTCAGATCTCAGCCTCATGAGTAACTAGGATTATAGACATGAGCCACTGGAACCTAGCCTGACTTCATTTCACATTTAGAGACAAATTGTAAGAATAGTGCTAAGAATCTTCTGGTGCCCTTCACTCGGATCCTTCCAAAGTATACGCTGGAGCCTTTTCTTTCCACATAGAACACTGTGCACCCACACACATCGCCCCCAAAACAGATCCCATTAGTGGTCGATGTGATCTTTGCCTCCAAACCAGCTTCAACTCAAGGCCTGGGTACTGTCCTTGAGCTTTTGTGCTCAAGGCTACCCTCTACTACTTGAGACACCGCTCCACTTCCAGCCTTTTGGTGGTTAGTTGTAGATAAGAATTTCTTGGATTTTCCTGTCCAGACTGGCTTGTGATCCTTAGATCTCAGCCTCCTGTGTAGCTAGGATTACAAGCATGAGCCCCTGGTACCTGGCTACCTCCAAATCTTTGGAACTTATTTCCTAAAAATAAGGATTTTCTTAGCAGGGTGCCGGTGGCTCATGCCTATGATCCTAACTACTCAGGAGGCTGAGATCTGAGGATCACGATTCAAAGTCAGCCCAGGCAGGAAAGTCCGTGAGATTCTTATCTTCAATAAACCCCTAGAAAACTGGATGTGGCCCTGTGGCTCAAGCAGTAGAGCGCTTGCCTTGAGCTGAAGAGCTGAGGGAGAGCACCCAGGCCCAGAGTTCAAGTCCCATGATGGACAAAAATAAATAAATAAATAAATAAATAAATAAGGACGTTGTTGTACTGGGCACATTATGCCTCTAATCCTCTATAATGCCTCTAATTCAGAATGCTGAGATCTGATAATCACAGTTCAAGGCCGGCCTAGGTCAGGAAAGTTGGTGAGATTCTGTTCTCCAATTAACCATCAAAAGGCCAGAATGTGGTTCAAGTGGTAGAGCACCAGTCTTGAACTAAGGGACAGTGCCCAGGCTCTGACTCCAAGCCCCAGTACTCACACAAAAATAATTATATATATATATATATGTATATAAAATGTAATTTGTGAGTGTGTGTACATATATATACTCGTGTGTGTGTGTGTGTGTGTGTGTGTGTGTGTGTGTGTGTGTGTGTGTGTGCTGAGCCAAGTCTGGTAATCCAGCTTCTAATCCTTATCACATCACTCATAAGCAGTGAGAACTGAGGCAATCTTGCTTCTCCTGGTTCATCATTTTTAAGCACTCATCCAGTTCTGGAATGAAAAACCCTGCTAGGGCAGAATTTAACCTCACCCAGAAAAACCCACATGTGTACAAACAACATGATTTTGCATTTTCTCATGAAGTTCACAACCCTAGAAGCCAATCAACCCTCTAATCCCAGTGTTCTACAGTAGAAAGATGGCAGCTAGAACTCCTCCCAAGGTGGAGAGCTCACTGTTCACATAGAAGACGCTCAATATACTAGCTCTAGATATATAGGATCTTTATATTAAACCAATTTCAGAATATTGTCATGTCTACCCAATTATCCAAGGTCTCCACTGCAAATCAGAGAAATCAGGCTCTCTCTTGTATCTGAATGGAATTTCATCTCTGTGAAGATTCTTCCTTTTAAATGAAAATAATTTAGACATGCAAATTATTTTACAACACATTGTTACAAAGATAAGGTCTTCCCACATCACCCTATAGCCCAAATATCCAGGTACAGACACTAACTGACAAATAAGCAGCAGTGTTATTAGCCAGCATGCCTCTGAGTTTTGCAGAGGGGAAATACTGTGCTGTATAAAAATATCTTGAAAGAATAGCATGATCTTCTGAGATAATCATAATGCAATTATTAAGATAAGTATGTCTTAATTAAGATAATCGTTTCTTGAGATTAAGATAATTTGTTAATGCAATGAATATCTTAACCTGAAGCCTTGGAAAATGATAAAATGCTCAGAAAGGTTTAGCCCACGCCTGGTACCCAGCAAATTCTCAATACCAGCGCACCAGCTCAGCAAGCTGGGTTTCTCATTCGATGCGCTCGGCGCTCTTTCTCCAAAGGGATTTCCCCGGACTCGAGACGGAGCCTGCGCTCTGGGCTCGACTGAGGCTCCCTGGCCGCTCGCGCTTTTCTCTCCTTCTCCAAGATGGCGGCGGTCGGCGGCGCAAAGGCGGGACCCGGGCGAGCGGAGTGAAGGTAGCGGCCAGCAAAGACCCCCCACGAGACCGGGACGAGCCCCCACCCCGAGGTGGCCACGGCCCTGGCCTGCCGCCCGCTGCCACTCGGGGCCCGCGACACCGCCTCGGGGGCGTCCCAGACCCCCTGCGGCCTAGCCCGGGAGCCGAGCCGGGGACTGGAGTAGCGGCTGCAGCCGCCTCCGGGAAGGGGTTGGAGCGGGGCCGCCGGAGGAAGGCGGCGGGAGCTGTTCAAACGGGGAAGGCGGGAAAGCTGCGGGGCCGGGAGGGGGCGTGCGGGCGCCCCGGGGCCCGCGGGCCGCCGCCCCTCCCCTGCCCTCCAGTCCGCCTCCGCCCGCGGGGGCGCCGGGGACCGCCAGGCGCGGGAAGCCGGGCGGGCCGGGCGCGCTTGGGATGGCTGCGATCTGGGGTGCCCGGGGCCGTCGGGGGGCCGGGGCCGCGCCCACGGGGGCGCTGGGTGCCCGGCCGCCCGGGGAGGTGCGCGGAGCGCGCTTCCCTTCCCGGGAAGACAGCGTTGTGGAAGTAGTTGATGCTGCAGAGCAGCCCCCCCGGGGGAAACCCCACTGACTTGCATTGGGGACCCAGAAATGGTGGTCCCGGACCCTAGTATTGTCTGTCTGTTTGCTGCGACCCGGTTTGGATATGCATTCATAGCGAGGAGTCTCTTCCAGTCCAGCCCCCCTCCTTTTTTCCCCCCTCCATAACTACTTGTAGATTCACTTTATTTTATAATATGCAGAAGAGAAGAAATCGGCCATCCTTCTTTCTCTCTGATGGCTAAACTGGTGGCTGATTATATTCCCTCATCGTAAAAGAAATTGAAAAACAAAAAACAAAAAAAAAAACCTGAATGCAAAGGAAAGCCTGTTGTTGATCGCCTGAGCCTGGTCAGAATTTGTTATCGCTGGTCCCATGGAAATGTGTGTTGTCAACCAATCTGTGCGGTGGTCGTGGTCCGGATAATTCGCTCTGCAATCTGAAAGGATTCAATTCCCCATCTCTGGCTGGCGGGAATCTCTGCAGGCTCCCAGAGCCGGCAGGGGCTGTGAGTGCTGCGCTTGGTGGGTCCTTGGAGGTGGGAGTGGCAGAATTCACAATCGCTATGTTCAGAGATTGGAGGAAACCCACGAAAATGAGAAGATCTCACCTGCTTGTATCCTAGAAGTATCAACAACCAAAATGTCAGAAAAAGATCTTAGATGTTCAAGAGTCTTCCTTTACCTGCGCGAACTGGCAATTTGATTTCCTGAAAGGAATGTTGGAGGAAGAGGAAAATGAACCATTTGGACAAAGCTTTAGACCTGGAGCTTAGGGTTTCTTCTTCTGCCCAATTTACAGGTGGGATGATGAAGGTTGATTAGAATTGCAGGTAGTGATGACCTTAAAAAAAAATTGCCTTCTAAAACATTTTTGGTAGCTTGACTTTACAAAATAACAAAGTCCTACATCCTATGGTTTAAATTTTTTTCCTTGCTTTGGTCATCCCAAAAACCTATGCCTGACAATAACTTGTATTTTTATCTTCAAGTTGAACGGCAACTCTTTCATTTTTCATACTCTGAAGAAAAAGCCTCAGAACAAATTTACACATTACCCAAGTATGCATTTTTTATGATAGTATGTTTCTTACTTCCAGAAACATTATTAAGTAATGAACTTTCACCTGTAATGAAGATTTGCCCAGTCCATAGACAGACATAACTGTAAAATTATTCCTGTTTCTTGAAGTTAAAAACACTAAATTTTGTAAACTCCAAAATTAAGGAATTCAGGAAAATTCAGGTTTTAACACCTGTTTTACATTTGCCAACGTTTAATGTAATTAATGTTTTCTGATGTGAAAATTAAGCCGAATTTTTTTCATTTTCATTAATCCTTCCAATCCGATTCCTATCCCTGAACCTGAATGTAATGTTAATCACAGATAATAATTCGCCACCTGGAGGAGTAATCAGGGGTCCAACTAATCTTACATGAATGTTGCTTGAACTTTGCCTATCTTTTATACTGTTGCTTGAGACTTCTTTATCTCGAATCATCTTTCTTTTTTATGAGTCAGCCAGCACAATTAACCCCTGAAGTACAATAATACCCTGATCTTATCTTAGAAATCAAGGACCCATTAGTCATCCCAAACTATGAGGGGTGCCACCCATTGGGCTTTTCAGGTTCTGGGCTGCTCCACCTCTTTAGGGAATTGGATTAGATCTCATTCATTTTTTTTTCTATAGAATATGATGCTGTAGAAACACATAAAATGTGTTTCAGTGTACTGAAAGTTAAGCAGGCCGAATTCTAATACATAATGCCAATACAATATGGGTTGTGTTGGCCTGCCTCTAAGGAGCTGTTTGTAATTTTCCGTTTCATGGCACAGGTTTTTCAGGACAGTTAGCTATGGACATCCAGTGTATTTCCGTGTCCGCTAAATCACAGTTTTCTTTCTCACAGTGTCTACAGAGGCACCCATTCCTGTTCTGACTGCAAACTGCATGACCAATGTCAATTCTGATGTTCTCAGAAGGAAAGGCTACTTAGAAGTGTCTAGGCCTGCCCTTACTTTTAAAAGTGTCTTGTTGATCACAGAATAATGGCTATATTTGTTACACAAAATAAGTTTCAGTTTTTGGATTTTGTGTGTGTGGATTTGGGGTTTCATTTGGGTTTTTTTGGTTGTTGTTGTTGTTATCGTGGGCCTGAACTCTGGGCCTGGACGCTGTCCCTCAACTCTTCAGCTCAAGGCTAGCACTCTACCAATTGAACCACAGCGCCACTTCCGGCTTTTTCTGCTTATGTGGGGCTGAGGAATCAAACCCAGGGCCTCATGCATACAAAGCAAGCATTCTACCACTGAGCCACCTTCCCAGCCCCTTATTTGTTATTTTTGAAGAATTTTATTTTTTCATTTTTTGTCGAAAATCACTGAGCATGAAAAGCATGTAAGTGCAGGTCTCAAGCTATAGTAGTTCTTGACATTATCAGCCTGTGAAAACCAACATCTATGTATTTTTCTAATCCTAGTATTTCACTGCCAGTGAGAGGAAGTGCCATGTTTACATGAATGGATGTAATTCTCTATAACCCACCTCCATTCCTTTTGGAACCCTGCTCAAATGGAAGTAGAGGGAGTAGTCCCCATTTAACTTAGTTTATTACTTAAAGGCTGAAACCTGAGAAACTGCTACATTGTGTATCTTGCCTCCTGAAGTGTTTATATAAGGCCTGACTTGTATCCCTTCCCACCAGGGGCATAGGCCCCTTGGAGCAGCCCTTTTCCAGTTTGTCTTTAAACTTAATTTTATTTCTTCACTGTAGCTGTTCTTAGCTTGAGCAAGGCCCTCCTTCATTTTACGTTTTTGTGTTTCTTAAGCTGGTCAATCATTTTTAGCAATACTTTTTTCCCCTGTCTTTTTTCAACTTGGGCCTACTAATGTGTTATTTTCTCTGTGCAAGTAAGTCTTTTCTACTTTTTAGTGTTTTTTAAATGTTAACTTACTAAAGTTCCTCTTGTGAATCCAGTTCATCTTTTTATTGACAAAAGTTATATCTTTCAAAATGTCCTTCAGTTTTTCTAAATCACATTTGTAATGAGGAAGGTAAAAATAAAATTTGAATAAATGACCAGTCAGATCAACTTTCAAACGTTTGAGTAACTAGAAGAGGACATTTTCAAAAAGTTTCACAGAGAGAGAGAGAGAGTGTGTGTGTAAGCAAGCCAGTACTGCGGCATGAACTCATGGCATCAGGCTGTTTAACTCAAGGCTGGCGCTCTACCATTCGAGCCAGAGCTCTACTTCAGCTTTTCCTGGTTAATTGGAAATAAGAATCTCACAGACTTTCCTGCCTGGGCTGGTTTTGAACTGCAATCCTCAGTTCTTAGCTTCCTGAATAATGAGGATACAGGCGTGAGCCACCAGCACCTGGCATCATATATAATTTTAAGCTTCCTGTAGATTTCCTCCAGGACTTGTGACATTGCCCTTCCTGTATTTGAAGAACTTTGTCTTACAGTGCAGTATGTTACATTGCCATCTTCAAAGTCAGAGTGGACAGCTGAACTTGAATGCTAAGATAAAGTTAAGTATCCAACACAGTATTGAAAACATTTAAATTATAGTATTTCTAATTAGTGAAAAATCTTGGAATCATACAAATTGTATGAACAGTGGACAAGTCTCCTTGTTTCCCACCTAGCCTTCAAAAAAGGCTATTAGTGTTGCAAACTGTCATATGGCCAACTAAGGCAAAAAAAAAAAAATCTACCTAAATACCTCCATGAATTGTAGCAAATTCATGTAGCTTAACAATGCAAAATAAAGCATCAAAAGTTCTTTAATATGCTGTCCTCTACATGATACCCAAACATCATCATTTCTATCTTAAGTTATAATACAGTAAATTTTACCAGCTCATCAGCTAGTAGGGTCCTGTGGTCTTCAAGTGTTTGATGGTCTCTCTTCCTCTTCATCTGGCTTTACCTGTCTGCTTGTCACCAAGACTAAACTAAACCTGACTTAATGTCAAGTTTTTACCCTGCCTCCTTGTTAAAGAACAGCTGTGTTGGCATTCCAGAAATTCTCATTAATTTTGGAAGTATTTTTAATCTTAGGAAGTAGTTGATATACTCCCTCCAAGCAACTTTAATTCCTGACTCAAATCTTATTAAGGCTAGCACACTTCCTGCAGTTTCTACCCAGTTGTACTCACAGACAGAATGAGGAGATGACAAGACATTCCTGTCTCTCTCAAGGCCCTTCCAGTCGGCCCCTGGATCACTTCGCATTTCCACCAGGATGGTTGCTTCTCCACAGTGATTTCGCATTACAGGAGGGTTTTCCTTCTTTGTTTCTCAGACCTGGCCCTGTAGACGGGAAGGAGCCTGGACACAGTGACACATTCTCAAAGGCCCTGCAGAATCCACCATGGCTTATGATGACTCCGTGAAGAAAGAAGGTATGGCCCCTTACTCAGAGAAGCATTCCAAAGGGGGTTATCTCTTCAGTCCTGGCAGGCCGTGGATGTAGAAACCAGGACCGGGCACCTCAGCCTGGACTCCCAAGTGATGGTCCAGAGCATTGTTAAGACACTCAGCCTCCATCATCCCCAGACTGGGCCCGTGGAAACGAACACCAGGACAGGGATTCCAACACGAGAGTCTGAATTGAGAGTCTCTTAACTTACTGGTGTGATCCCCTGCAGCACTCTTGGTCCTTGCCAGCTCCAGTTGCAGGAGTCTGGGCATAGGAATCACACACTGGACTCCCACAGAGCAGCACAGCACATGAATCCTTATTCTTTTCAGCCTTAACCTCTGCAAGTCTGTCTACTGCCAGTCACAACTAAGAAACCATGTCTGAGGATGCACATTTGCATAGTATGGAAATACTGTTTCTTCAGGTTGGATACTTACGGTTTGCAGCAGGTCATCAAGAAATATCCTTGACTCTCTGGGTCTAGCCCTGTATTTCAGTGGACTCTATAACATAATTTTAATTCAGAAATGGGATGGTTGCGTTCACTTGTTACCTACTTGACTTTCTCATTTCCTTTCTCAAATGCACCTGTGCTTCCCAGATTGCTTTGATGGTGATCACAGCTTTGAAGACGTAGGACTTGCCGCTGGTCGGAGCCAACGAGAAAAGAAACGCTCTTACAAAGACTTCTTAAGGGAAGAGGAAGAAATCGCTGCTCAGGTCAGGAATTCTTCCAAGAAGAAGTTAAAGGTACGCTGTAAACAGAATGAAGTTTTAAACTACACTTTAACCATATTTCCTAATGTTTGAAGACAGAAGTGTCTTTTTTAAAACCTTAAAGAGGAAAAAAGATGTCTATTTTTATTACTTCCTGTCCCTTATTTTGTTCTGTAAGGTTGAAAATCAAAGAATAAGAATAGTGCCCACGGGGCTGGGAAGGTGGCTCAGTGGTAGAGCGCTTGCCTTGCATGCCTGAGGCCCTGGGTTCGATTCCTCAGCACCACATAAGCAAAAAGAAAAAAGCCGGAAGTGGCGCTGTGGCTCAAGTGGTAGAGCGTTAGCCTTGAGCTGAAGAGCTGAGGGACAGCGCCCAAGCCCAGAGTTCAGGCCCCACGAGGATCAAAAAAAAAAAAAAAAAGAATAGTGCCCAAGTTGGGCTCTGGTGGCTCACACCTGTAATCCTAACTACTCAAGGGCTGGGAAGGTGGCTCAGTGGTAGAGTGCTTGCCTTGCATGCATGAGGCCCTGGGTTCAGTTCCTCAGCACCACATGATCAGAAAAAGACGGAAGTGGTGCTGTGGCTCAAGTGGAAGACTGCTAGCTTTGAACTGAAGAGTTGAGGGACAGCGCCCAGGCCCAGAGTTCAGGCTCCATGACCTACAAAAAAAAAAAATCCTAGCTACTCCGGAGGCTGAGATCTGAGGATCACAGTTCAAAACCAGCCCAAGCAGGAAAGTCTTTTCTTTTTTTTTTTGTCAGTCTTGGGGTTTGAACTCTGGGCCTGGGTGCTGTCCCTGAGCTCTTCAGCTCAAGGCTAGCGCTCTACCACTTGAGCCACAGTGCCACTTCTGGTTTTCTAGTAGTTTATTGGAGGTAAGAGTCTCATGGACTTTCTTTCCCGGGCTGACTTTGAACCACGATCCTCAGATCTCAGCCTTCTGAGTAGCTAGGATTACAGTTGTGAGCCACCAGTGCCCAACTTGTCCATGACACTCATCTCCAATAAGCCACTCAGAAAACCAGAAGTGGCACTATGGCTCGAGTGATAGAGTGCTCACCTTGAGTTGAAGAGCTGAGGGACAGCAGCCAGGCCCAGAGTTCAAGTTCCACAACCAAAAAAATAAAAAAAATAGTGCCCATGGGGGAGTGGGAGAAAACAAGGGAGGGGATAACAATGTTTGACAAGAAGGGTACTCATTACCGTACTTATATAACTGTAACACCCTCTGATATCACTCTTACAATAACATAAACTTTTAAAAGTTAAAAAAAAAATTAACTCAAAGAAATAGTGTCCAACTCTTTGTCTCCTCATCTTCTAGTTGGTGAATACTTGCTTTTCTATTGCAGGATAGTGAACTTTACTTCTTGGGCACGGACACACACAAGAAGAAGAGGAAGCACTCCTCTGATGATTACTACTATGGAGGTAAGGGCAGCAGGTGGGCTAGGCACATCTCTGGTTCTTGGAGTAGGGGTAGGGGAAAAGGATCCAGATGTTGCTGACTCAGTGGCCTATTTAACAGGACAGTGGTTCTTGTTCTGAGTGCCGATAAACCATTGTGAAGGAGGAGAGAGGTGGAGGGCTGGTATTTTGGAGGATTCAGCATAGAAGAACAGTCTTCATTTGTGATATACCAGGTACCAGGCTCCTTCTCCCCCCAACCATCCACTTATCTGTGCCATTGTTATCTAGCGCTATCCTTTTGCCAAATGCAATCCTTGGACCCTCTGGCCCATGTCTCTGAGTCATTTCTCAGCCAGTGTATATCCACTCACAAAACCAGTTTTCTTAGCTGTATCTAACCTTTCGCCAGGATGAGTTTGTCCTGAACACAGAAACAAACGATACTCTATCTGTGATCTAATCTAAATTACAACTACCCTTAATCCCACAGCCATAGTCTGTTCTTCTGGGTATGCTCTCTTTGGTTGCTTGTGAAGACTCAGCGAAGAGAAACAACTTTAGTGGCAAGAATGGTCTCAAGGTTCAAAGGCAAAGTCTATCAAGCCAAGAAGTATACATGAGTATCATCTCCAAACATTAGGAACCAAAGCGTCTCCCCTCAAGTCACTCCTCTTAGCCTCTTCCTCATGTTAGTTGGTTGTTTTCGGGGAGAGAGAAAACTTGCTGGAAGTTGCTTCCTGTCCTGTTGACAGTACCTCTCTTGATTATTTCTAGACATTTCGTCTTTGGAATCATCACAGAAGAAAAAGAAAAAGTCCAGCCCGCCACCTGCCGATACAGCTATGGACCTGTTGAAAGCTATCACTTCCCCCCTGGCCACGGGCTCCAAGCCCCCCAAAAAGGCAGGAGAGAAGTCCTCTAGCTCCTCCAGCCATTCAGAGAGTAAAAAGGAACACCACAGGAAGAAGGGCAGTGGCAGCAGTGGGGAGCTCTCCCTGGAGGACAGCAGCACCCACAAATCCAAAAAAATGAAGCCACTCTTTGTGAACACAGAAACACTGACCCTTCGTGAGCCGGACGGCTTAAAGATGAAACTCATTCTGTCGCCAAAGGAGAAGGGAAGCAGCTCAGTTGAGGAGGAATCTTTTCAGTACCCTTCCCAACAAGCAGCTGTGAAGAAATCCTCTAAGAAATCAGCTCGGGATGAGCAAGGTGCTTTACTCCTAGGACACGAGCTACAGAACTTCCTGAAAACAGCCCGGAAAAAGCACAAGTCATCCTCAGACTCACATGCATCTCCTGGCCCTGAAGGCTGTATGTCCGATGCCTCACAGTTTCCAGAACCCCAAAGTGCTAACCTTGACCTGTCAGGGCTCGAGCCCGTTCTAGTAGAATCAGACTCGTCCTCTGGTGGGGAGCTAGAGGCCGGTGAATTAGTAATAGATGATTCTTACCGGGAAATCAAGAAGAAAAAGAAGTCAAAGAAGAGCAAAAAGAAGAAGGACAAGGAGAAGCATAAAGAGAGGCGACACTCCAAGTCCAAGAGAAGTTCAGGACTGTCCATGGCGGCAGCAGGAGAGGCCCCCATGACCGCTGGTCCTCCCCCCAGCCTCCCATACACTGGAGCCTCCACCCCCACCCCTGCACCTCCTGCCCTCCATATGGATGGACATGGTGAGAAAAAAAAGAAAAAAGAAGAGAGGGACAGAGAGAGAGAGCGGGGAGAAAAGGTAAGATGTTTTCTGCAGCGGGGTTAGTGATGCTCAGGTTCTCCCTGAACAGGAAGTGAACTTGTTCAGCCACTGAGGAGCCGCCAGTGTTTAGCAAGGGTCAAGAGGATCTTTGGAATGAATCGAAGCGTGAAACGTTGCCAATAGCCAAGTCTGTCTGGTACAAAAAATAAGAGCAGTCTTAATTATGTACAGCTTTTCTTCATAGTGTTGTTCTCTCATTGTGCCGGTCACGGTATTGAGAATGCCAAGGTTTATTCCAGGTGGTTCTTAGAAGGAGTTTGTAGAAGGAGCCACACTGACTGTCAGGACAACTGAGAGATATGAAGAGATGTGCTTTGAGTTCATTTAGGGAGAGGAATTTTCAAAACTAGCATAATGATGACCAACCCTGTGAACACACAGAGCAGGTTTGTGAGACAAGACCTGGACACGCTTCCCCTCCCTTTCTCTCCCTCTCTCTCCCTCTCTCTCCCTCTCTCTCTCCCCCCCGCCCTCCTCTCTCCTCTCTCTCTCTCTTCCTTCTCTTCTCTCTCTCCTCTCTCTTCTCTCCTCTCTCTCTCCCACCATTCAAGTGCTTAGGCTCTATGCTCTGGTAGGAGCCAGGCTGGGCAGAGATGAACAGGACGTGATTCTTGATCTTGGGCCGCTCACTGTCCATGCAGGCAGTACGAATGAGAAATCAGTTGCCTACATTTGATTTCTTTGCTCTCAACTCCAGAAAGTTTCCCACTATTGTGTTTTAAGGCTGTGTCTTTATGTGTCTCCTTAAAAAAACAAAGACATTTTGCCAAATGTGGTAGCATACATTTTAATCTCAGCCATTAGAAAGTGCAGGCAGGACGATCAAGATTTCAAGGCCAGGGGCTAGGAATGTGGCTCAGTGGCAGAGTGCTTGCCTCTCATGCATGAGGCCCTGGGTTCGATTCCTCAGCACCACATAAACGGAAAATGTTGGAAGTGGTGCGGTGGCTCAAGTGGTAGTTGAAGAGCTGAGGGACAGCACCCAGGCCCAGAGTTCAAGCCCCACAACCAACAAAAGAAAAAGATTTCAAGGCCAGCCTGGGCTATGAGGCCCTTATGGTCAAAGGCATGTGTTTTCATAGACATTTATAAATTAGGTAATATATTGCGAGAAAGTCTTAACCTGAATATATCCCATGGAAAGTGTACAGGGTCTGACACCTGACCTCGAATCCTGGAGGGTGGAAACAAGTGAACCTAAGTGCATTGAGAAATAGTGATCTCCTCAAGGTCGTAGACTTTTCATTTGCAATTCCCTATGTGGCTAGCAGCTACTGAGACGTTTAGTTTATAGCCAGAACCTTGATGTTAGATTGTGACCATCCAAAAAAATCAGAACTAGCCTGAATCTAGTCCAACAACTATTTATACACCATGGTGGGGGGGAGCAGGGTGTTTTGTTTGTTTGTGAGACAGTGTCTTGGCTATGTAGCCCAGGTGTTCTTAAACGCTGGATCCTACTGCTTTAGCCTCCTAAGCGCTGGAATTCATTACAACTACGCACTACTACTTTCAATTTACCATGTTGTTGAAACCTAACCTGGGCACAAAACCTTCCTGGAGCCGTAAAAAAAGTGTTCTTTGCTGTGTTTTGTTTCAGTCTAAGAACTGTCTAAAAGTTAGGGACAGAGCCCATCCAGAGGTAAAAAGATGTGTATCAAGTGTAGTGTCCATCAGCCATCAGTGAGCAGAGGCTGGAGAGCCACTTGGTAGAAATACTAAAAGCTGTGGGTCCTTCAGTCTTAGATTTTATGACCTGAGCTATAATAAAACTAATAAAGATGAGAATAACTGATTTAGAAGAAGATAATTTAGAATTAAAGACTAAACAGTACACTCAGAATAGTTAAGCAATTAAGGTGTTGGGCTGAGGAGCCAGATAGCTTGGTCTAAGTCCTGACTTCGCTGTGCTCCTTCGGAGCTGTGAGGTGTTGGACAAGAACTACTGAGGAGTAGCCGGGCGCTGGTGGCTCACGCCTGTAATCCTAGCTACTCAGGAGGCTGAGATCTGAGGATCATGGTTCAAAGCCGGCCTGGGCAGGAAAGACCGTGAGACTCTTTTTTTTGTTTTTGTTTTTGTTTTTTCTTCCCAGCCTCCCCCCGCCCCCCCCACCCAATTCTCCCCCCCCCCACCCCCCCACCCCAGACTCTTGTCTCCAATAAACCACCAGAAAACTGGAAATGGCACTGTAGCTCAAGCAGTAGAGCATTCGCCTTGAGCTAAATAGCTGAGGGACAGCGCCCAAGCCCAGAGTTCAAGCCCCATGACCACAAAAAAAAAAAAAAAAATAGAACTACCGAGGAGTAAATGAGGTGATATATGTACATGTGTTTGGGGCCTTATGTGCCAAGGTCCTATGGGTACTACACCAACTCATGGGGGCACTGCTGGGGATTTTAACGTTCCAAGAGTAGCAATAGGTTGACATCAGAACAGTTGCCAGTTTCATGCCATATCTTTACAGAGCTGAGGTTGTTGCAAAAATAATTTGGGGGACTTTATCTTTGAACCATATAAAGCCCACAACTTAGTAGAACCATTGTAATTTGGATTCAGATTTAGGTGTCCGTGTGCAATAAATGAAATGTATGAATAGATCAGAAATGAGCCCATGGGGGCTGGGAAGGTGGCTCAGTGGTAGAGTGCTTGCCTTGCATGCGTGAGGCCCTGGGTTCGATCCTCAGAACCATATAAGCAGAAAAAGCAGAAGTGTCTCTGTGACTCAAGTGGTAGAGCGCTAGCCTTAAGCTGAAGAGCTTAAGGACAGTGCCCAGGCCCAGAGTTCAGGCCCCACAACCAACAAAACAAAACAACAACAAAAAAAGAAATGAGCCCATGAGCAGAATGTTTTAGAAGACTACAGGGGCCATCGTGGGGGAGGGACTCTCCAGCCATCCCTCTGTGAAGCCATCCTCTCTCTTCTGATCCTGGAACGTAAGCAGTACCAGGCCTGGTTATGTGCCCGACTGGGAGAAGAAAGAGGGGGCACTTACGTTGAAGGAGAAACAGAAGGACAGAGAAAGACCACTTCATATAGCTTAGCGTCATGCTAGCAGGGTTGTGGCCCTCAAGTATGAGGAAAGGGGCCCCTTGTACTAGGAGGTGAGCTGTTTAGGTGTGAACATGAGGGTGGACTTGGGGGGATTTGGACTAACGCAAAGAAGAGAAATTGTACTGCCTGATGAAGGGTAGCCTTTGCTTTTTGTTTGTATTGCTTATGTGGTTGTGTGTGTGTGTGTGTGTGTGTGTGTGTGTGTGTCCTGCTTTCTAAGGAAAAGTGTGATCATACCTTGGTGGTTTCCAATGGAAACCAATAGTCATCCCATCAGAGTGGATGTTTTTCATTATATTTTGGGAGGAGGATACAGCCACATATCAAACATACCTTTTGGTCTTACTAAATTAATAAAAGCCCATTCATTGTCACTCAAAAGGGTCCTGTAGTGTCGCCACTTTCAACATATGCCTTCAGGTTTCTGTAAATTCCCAGAATGCACGTCCTCCAAGCAACCTAAGGCTGGTTCTGGCAGTGAGTGCCTGGCACACTCTGCATTGTTTGTTGATCTACTAATAAGATATAATTAGATTTGTGATCGTATTATATAAGGATCTCTCTCTCTCTCTCTCTCTCTCTCTCAAAAATAAAAGTTCTAAGGCAGGAGCTCAAGAGTTCAAAATCAGTTTAGCCTGTGAGACGCTATCTCAAAAGAGGAAGGAAGAATAATGGGGAAGTGGAGGAAAGGAAAGGGGGAAAAAAAAAGTACTGTCCTGGAATCTGAGGTTGGTTTTAGTAAAAACTGTAAAGATTGTTCTATATATTTTTTTTAATTTAAGAAGCAGACTATAATAAATGGTGCAAAGCCTGTCTGAAGAATTCAGCAAACCGCTGCTTACTCTATCCCCTTAAGATTGCCTGCTTCCTCCTGTTTGCTCCTTTGTACGATGGGATTAGGTTCCATTACCGGTACAAATAATACCTTAGCACAGGGTGTGGCTTAGACACTGGCTAATGTTACAATCACTGTTGCTTATATCTTAAAGTCCTGCAAAAACAGAAAATATACTTGAAAACCAGTCTGTTTACATATAGACTGGCTTGACAAGGAGATTTTTTTATGCATCTAATATCCTGCCTCAGTGTAATACCTGCCTCTAGGGAAAAAACTCTGCCAAATCTCATATATTGGAAAACAAGAAGAAGAGGAAGAGGAGGAGGAAGAAGGAGGAGGAGGAGGAGAAAGAAGAAGAAGAAGAAGAAGAAAGCAGAAGAAGAAGAAGGAAGAAGAGGAAGAAGAAGGCAACAGTCTTTAAGAAGCAAAAGCAAACAGAAGTGGCACTGTGGCTCAAGTGGTAGAACACTAGCCTTGAGCAAAAGAAGCTTAGGGACAGAGCCCAAGCCCAGCATTCAAGCCTCTGGACTGGCAAAATAAAAAATAAAAAGGGGGTGGCGGGGGGGGGGGGGCAAAAGCAGATGTAACATGAGTTTCCTTCAACTCATTAGAGTGCTTCCTGGTCAGTAGGGAAGCAATATCATGGCTGGTCCAGGACTCTGTTCCTTTTTATTCTTTCCTGGCTGATGCCCTACAACTTGAGCCATGCCTCCATTCTAGCTTCTTTGGTGGTTAATTGGTGATTGTCTCTTTGACCTGCTTATCTCTTTTAGGGGTTCGTCTGATATGGTCAGGGCCAGTAAGGATTGATTCAGATTCAACCCACTAGGTATCTTAATGACGGCTGCAAATCCCCTTTGCTATATAACGAAATACAATCCTGGGACTGATGACCTTTGTATTCACCAGTCTTGCCCATGTGTAAGGGGAGGACGTGTCCACCAGGGAGCAGTCATGGGAGCCACTATGCATTTACACACAGACTTAGAGTAGGAGAAGAGCCCAAAGGCATAACTCCTCTGAACATCTAAAATACTACTCACCAAAAAAAAATTCCAGGAAATGGAAACATGGGGTTTTTGTTG